ATAGGCAGCTAGATAGATGTATGGGGTGTATAGGCAGCTAGATAGATGTATGGGGTGTATAGGCAGCTAGGTAGATGTATGGGGTGTATAGGCAGCTAGATAGACGTTTGGGGTGTATAGGCAGCTAGATAGATGTATGAGTGTACGGGGGGCGGCCAGCCAGAGAGAAATATATTAAAATTAATTGCTTACACAGCAGCAAGGATACTTGTAGATGTCTTATGAAAACCTAAATATGAATTTGTTGCTTTATATATATAAATTAGGGTTTAGGGTTTAGGGTTTAGGGTTTAGGGTTTGTTGCCCAGCGGCCGGCCTGCGGGCGACGAACGGTCTCGATACTTTATGTGTGTGTACAGTGCGTAGGGGTTTTTTTATGTAATATTAAATTTAATTTATAATTTAAATTAAATTAAATTAAATTAAATTATTTAAAATAATTAAATACATAAAAAAAACAAAAAAAAACCATAGACAACAGCAACAGCTTGGCGGCTGCTGCTGAGCCGCCGCCGACCGCCCGGGTACAGCTCGGGGGCCCCTGAGGGTTTAGTTTTTAGGGTTTAGGGTTTAGGGTTTAGGGTTTAGGGTTTTGTCCTTCTTTTTTTGTTATAATATTATCTCTTTGTGCGTTTCTTTAGCTCAATACAGCTCACAAACCCCCTGAGCTGCCGCGACCGCAGCACCGGCATTCATACATTTTCTTCTTTCCTGTTTGTGTATTAACCATCAATATTATAATAAAGCAGCAGATGCTGCATCATATACTTTACTCTTGCAGCTAGCTGCTTCTGCTCTCACCGCCTCCGCTGCTGCTGCTGCTGCTGCTGCAGCACTGCAGCTCCCGCTGCTGGCGCTGCTGCAGTTCGCTGAGCGTTTATACAGAGTAGCTGCTGCTGCTGCTGCTGCTGCTGCTAGTTTTGTAGCAGCAGCAGCTTTGCCCATGGGGTCTGCTGCAGCTTGTCTTTCTTTCGGCAGCTGCAATGGCAGCAACAGCAGCAGCAGCAGCTGCAGCAGTGTGTGCAGCAGCAGATATAGTTTCTGTATTATCTTCTAAGTATTTATGTACTCTTTTTTTTATGCGTTTGGATCTGCGGCTGCGTGTGTGTTACCGGACGGGGAAGATGCTGCTGCTGCTGCCGCTGCTGCTGTCAGTTGCTGCTGTGCTGCAGCCGCAGCAGGTAAGCAGCAGGGTGGTATTTGCTTCTCCTCGTGGGGGCCCCCTATTAGGTTTCTCTATATCTCTAGATGCTGAGCTAGCACCCTGGGGGCCCCCCATCGATGGTGTTGCTGGTATGTTGGTGTATAAAGGCAGCAGCTGCGCAGCAGCAAACCCAACGCTTCTCTCTTTCTCTTATCTTGATTTTCGTCCCCAGCTGCTGCAGCAGTCGTTTATAAAAACAATAAAAGGAATAGCGCAGCAATTCATACCTTCTGCTGCTGCTGCTGATCCTGCTGCTGCTGCTCCTGCTGCTGCTGCTGCTGCTGATGCTGCTGCAGCAGACGCGGAGGAAGCAGGGGATCCCCTTGCTGCAGTAGCAGCAGCAGCAGCAGCAGAAGCAGAAGCAGCAGCAGCAGCAGGACCAGCAACAAAAGGAGACAGCTGGCGATGGGCTATGCAACAAACAGGGAGAGTAAGAAGAGACAGTTTGTCTCTGCTGCTGCCTTTTGTCTCTTCTCTTCTCCCTCGTCTCTTCTCTCCGGATATAAACCCCACCAAAACACCACCCTCCCCCCCCATTGCTTCTCTTACAGCGCAACCACAGCAGCAGAACCAACAGCAACAGCAGCAGCAGCAGCAGGAGCAGGAGCAGCAGCAGGCCCCCCCCTCCACCCAACAACAGCAGCAGCAGCAGCAGCAGCAGCAGGACGTGAGGCCGCTGCTGCGTGGTGGGGGCTGGCGGGGGGGAGAACTGCGTAAGAGAGTGTGGTTGTTCGATAGGTGCAGCGAGGAGGAGCTGCTGCAGCTGATACGAGCAGCAAACCGGTCTGGTGTTGCTGCTCTGCTGCTGACGGAGACAGAACTAAGAGATTACTCTTTGCCTTTTTTAGGGAATGTATTTGCCCCTAAACCCCTGATGCCTGTTGCTTCTATCCCTGATACTTTGCTGCTGCAGCAGGTGAAACAAAGAGCAGCAGCAGCAGCAGCAGCAGCAGCAGATCCTCTTTATGTACTTGTTGATTCACTTCCTTCTAGGGGTGCTGACTGCAGCGCGCAGCAACCGCTGCTCCTTTCTGCTGCTGTCTCTCTCCCTCTCTGGTGTATACTTATATATTTATCTAATAAAGAATATAGAGAGACAGGGGGGAGAGAGATAACAGCACTACATCGTTTGCTGCTGCTTCCTCCTATTCTGAAGACAGCAGCAGCAGCAGCACAGCTGCTGTTCGCGCTGCAGTGCCCCGCATACACTGCAGCAGCAGCACAATATATTGTTATTGCTGTTCTTACCTTTGATACTTTATTTAAAACTTTATTTGTCTCCTGTCTCCTCCTCAT